GAGGTAGCAATGCTTGATAGGAATTGTACTCATTACCTTACTCATGTGACTATAACCCTTCAGTACAGTATCTTTACAATAAAAAAAATCTATAAAGAAGATAAAATAAATTCTTGAAACAACTAACTACCTGTATAATGCTGTTTGCCTAGTCAGTTATTGGAATCTTAGGTGAGGAAGAGAAGATAGGTAGCATTCAAAGTGATATTACTGTATAACCTTATGGCCTAGTGTCTCCCATTAATTCCAGTCATAACCAATCCTCCAATTAGTTAAAGCCTTACAAAGTTACAGAAGATTAAAGGTAGCTCTTTGGGTAACTACAGTTCCACCACCTGCCAATGTTTCCAAGGTGATTTGTGTTCATCATCTCTTGTCTACATTCATTTTAGGTTTCTTACTTCTGTTCTCTTATTTCCATATCTTGTACTTGTTTCTTAAAGTGTGCACAGACATTCATTCTAGGTGTCTGAACATTTATCTGGCTTTTAGCTGGAACTTGATTATGGAACTGTCCACTCAAACTTATTTATGGGCACTGAAGTCTCAAGAGACATTAAGTAACTTTTTAAAATCCCAGACATATTCTTTCTTACTTTCACTATAACCCATAATGCAGCTTTTTGTTCTGTCTGTGTCAATTATCTATGCTGGCATGGTAACTCCTCTCCTTTTCTATTAGCTCACTATCAGGGAAAGTAAAAATTTATGAGGTTGCAATCTTAGGCTTCAAACTGAGTGGCATCTTTTTTGTGTCTCCAAGAGGAAGGATTTGCCCAATAACACACAGTGCTTTTAATAGTTTGAGTTATAAATCTAAGAAACACAGATTTCCAAAATGTATTAACAAAAGGTATAGGAAGGTCAGCTAATGATAGTTTCAGTCTTTATTATTGAGCTTGTATTCTGGATTTGAGGAACACAAACATCATCTATTGGAGAGTAGTTTATTGTGTATTACATCTGGTAGTGGACATCCTCCTGCATCTACATGTTATCTTGATGATGAGCTGTCATTTTGCCAGGCACTTAGGAGGTCATTCTATTATATTGGCAAATATTGTGTGATGATGGCAGGTGTAGTTGGGACAAGTGTGTTTCATGGCAATGATTATGGCAATGATTCTTCTTGTGTTTTAAGAAATTGCCTGCTGTTCTGAGGAAATGCACAAGATACCATTTCAATGACTTAGGAATATTACACATTTGGCAAAACAACTACATCTCTAAGAAAACAAATTTATCTCCATACCACTATCAGTTTTGATGAAGTTATATTGCTTCTTCCTCCAGTATAGAAAGGCTCTGTTTCATTTCGACAAGCTTCCAATTTTTTTTTTTACCTCAGTAAATACCATATGAAGGACATAGGTAGATTTCGGTTCCTGATAGTTTACACATTCAGCAAAGCAATAGTTAAACATCCTTAATAAAGGGAACCCCACACTATTTTACTACACATAATTCCATGTCTTCTACTCTAGATCATCTGTTTAAGGTCCCATTGTACAAACACTGTTGAAAACTGAGTTAAAAACTCAGTAGGATCAGCCTGTGGTTAAGATTCTCCTGTGTATTAGCATATGCTCAGGAACACATGGAGATGACAGACACACTGATTAACAAACTTTTTGCCCTCCCTCTAATCCATTTGCATATGACATTCTAAACTTGCTTTTTTCCTCCAGTCTTTGTCTGACTAAGCCCCTATGCAACTAGTGAAAACCAGTTTTTACTTTGATACTAAGTGAATGCCAAGAATATCAGTAGCTGTACACCTAGATCAGCCTTAAGTACAGCAGCAGCATATTTTTCACTTAATCATCTATTAAGTTTACCCATCTAGGAATCATACTTGAATTTTTATTCTCTATCAATAGGTCTTTGATAACACCCTGAAAAGCCATTGATATAAGCTAAGGAAGAATCAGTGATTGAATCAAAGTACTTGAAATGTCATTCTGGACCACCTATTTGTGTAATTTACATGTGCACTCCTGAACAAATTAAGGCTTGGTGTCATCTGAGTGTCCTCCAAGATCCATGTCTTAAAATCTTAATTTCTAATGTAATGATTTTAGGAGACAGAAACTTTGGGAGGCAATTCAGTCATGGGTAGAATTTTGCCCTCACAAAAGTTCTACAGTCTGCCAATTAGCCAAGGGAAAAGAAAATAGTGTTCATACTATCTATGTGGCTAACTGAACTATATGAACAGTTGAGGATCAAGTGATTCAAGGTAATTAGTAACCTGATGGTAAACAGCTAATGACAACATAATAAGGAAGGTGCAAACAGTTAATGGGCTAAAAATTAGTGCAGCTGGAATACAGACAACAGAGTAAGTAATAGGAGATTAAATTAGAAAAGTAGAAAAGTGGGTGCAAAGTTGAGAAGTAATTTTGTATTATCTGGTAAGTCACAGAAATAATCTAGCTTTCACAGGGAGAATTACTTTATTTTATTAGCAAAGGAATGATCTAATTAATGTAAAAAAGATCAATTTGGATGCAAAATGAGAATAGACCATATTGAGCATAGATAAAATCCATGAAATCTCATAGGGCAATACTATAAATAAGTCCAGTGTGGATATAGTAACTATATGATCAGGCATTGTTCACATATTCTTAGAAATTTAGAGCCAAATACATTTGCTTGAAATTAAATGTAAATTTGAGAGAAGAATATGAGTTTGAAATATGAGTCTATGACGTAAGAGACAGGCAGGACTAAATGATCAGCATTCTGAAAGACACAAGATACACTGTCTTAGTTTATTTTTAAACCTCATTTAACAGAAATGCCTTTACCAATATTAGTACTTTCTATGTTCAATTACTGATGCAGGCAATTATATGAAGATGAAACCCTCCTGGGCCAAGATGAGAGAATTATGATGGACACTATAAGTTCTTGAGTTGCCAGCTAGTCCCCAGGGGGTCAAGTAAGAAAAATTCTTTAAAGTTTTACTTCCTTTTCTGCCTGTTCTTCCTCCCTTGCTAGTTCATATGTGTCGGTCCTTAATATTACCAATTTGTACAATCTCATGTCAGTGCCTGCTTCAAGAGAATTCAGTATGTAATTGGAATCAAAGGTGGAAGGGAAATTAAGTAATAAGATTCTACTTACTGGGAAATCTATTTCATTAATGTTGGGAGGTGGAGCACAGATATCTCCTGGGGGTAAATTAGTATTGAGTTGTTAGAAATCTCATTCTTGAATGCAGATGGCACATTGGTGCATTGGTGCTATCCAACAGCAGAGAACTGAGCGCCTATTGTTATGCACAATAATTGATGCCCTTGAAAAAGATAATAAAAATTTACTGCCAATTTACAGGCACTTTAAAATTAGTAGGGAAAATAAAGGAACCCTCAGAATCCTCATCTGGCCACATTCTTCTTTTGCACTTGGAAGGCACAGAAAGTTGCGAAACCAGGCCCCAAATAAAGAATGTAAATAGTAGAGTAACCCAACTCCAACAAATGTAAAATCAAGAGTGATTTTTAAATGTTTTTTTTGTGTGAAAATACTGTACAGAGGGGTTACAATTACAAGAGCAAGGTAATGAGTACATTTATCAAGCATTGTTGCCTCCTCCTTTGTTTTTCCCCTACCATCCATTCCCTCCCATCTCCACAACTACAGCCCCTCCCCCCAGCCTAAATTGTAGTGTTTTTCAACAGTGTCTTGTACATCTCACTGTTGCAATGGGTGTACATCTTACCGTTGCAATGGGTCCACCTGTATCCCTATTTAAACAATTTGTTTTTCTTTTCCCCTCCCCAAATTATACCAACATCAAATACAGTGAAAACAGGGTTTATATTGTGGGGAAGGGACATACAAAGCAACAAAAAAATCATGTGGTACCTTATAAATATGTTAGAAACAATAGCAAGAAAGAAAAAAAAACATTGTGTCCTTATCTTGGGGTTCATTTGGCTTAACATCCTCTTATCTGACCTTTTCTGCTTGTCTCAGACATATATTAGTTATTGCAAATAAGAGAAACCATGGGACCTTTGTTTCTTTGGGCCTAGCTTACTTCACTTAATATAATTTTTCCAAGTCTTTCCATTTCCTAACAAATTGGGCAGTGTCACTCTTTCTCATGGAGGCATAGTATTTCATTGTGTATATATACCACATTTTCTTTATCCATTCATCTACTGAGGGGAATCTGGGTTAGTTCTATATCTTAGCTATGGTAAAGAATGCTGCAATAAACATAGTTGTGCTGGTAGCTTTAGTATAAGAGTGATTTTTTTAATGTAAAATCAGAGACCTCGATGAAGGAAAAGCAACAACAGGCAAAGTTTAAAATGGAGAACTTGACATGAAGATGATTGCTTCTAAAAATAAATGTATTTCTTTTACTGAACCAGGATGATAATAGTTATAGCAACATAGGGTTAATGACTATTGACTGAGACAGCAAAGCTCAAGGGATTCCTTCTTTGCTAAACTGTGGTGTGACCTCCAGAGTTCATAACCTGGTTGTGTCTGTGTGAAGTGGTTCACAGACCTACAAAGTCTTTGAGGATGCCTATAAAATCTCATTTGCTGTGAAATCTGATTTCCATCTTGTCTGTTAACAACAGATAATAATATCCCACAGTGTCAGAAACATAGACATGCTAAGGAACAATAAATGATAGAAAATATTTCTAATTATGGGAAATTTTCTGTAATCTGCTGGGATTACTAGATACTGAAAAATATAACCAGGCTACCATTATAACAAATGCATTGCAAAATATCTGATTTCTGCATGAAAAAAAATCCCTACATGTTTATATTATTAAATATGTAGTTTATTTTGCATAGTCTTAACCTCAATAAATATTTTTTTTTTACCATTTTACCATCAGGTTTATCTCTTACCATGGTATTTGGGGGTTATACTGATGTTAATGCACTAAGCAATATTTTGAAATATTCAGTATTATTTAACATTTTATTTTATGAACATATTCCATGTTAATTTTTTTCTGGTGCTCAATTCAGCAGCACATATACTAATGTTGGATTGATACAGAGAAGATTAGCATGGCCCTTGAGAAAAGATGACACTCAAATTTGTGTTCCATATTTATTCATTTCTCTGTCTTTGGAGGGGTAAGGAGAGGAACAGAATTGGAGAGACAAAGAGTGAATAAATGCAGCAGTGTTACTCAATAGACACTATGTTGGAAAGGAACAATACAACTTATGTGTGGGAATATGAGGGAAGAATTGGGAGAGAGTAAGGGAAAGGGTGACAACCTCCAAGAAGAAATGTACTCTATCTGACTGTATATCATCTTTGTTTAAAAAAATCACTTTATTAAAAAATCACTGTGTTGTAATACTCAAAAGAATAATTTTGAGACCACATCCTACCTCCAGCTTTTCAGATTCAAAGTCAGTTTCTCTGTATGGGGCAAATTCACACATGCATATCACAAGGAAAATAGTTCTGTTAATTATGGGTCGATTCACCAGATAAACATTTTTCCTCACACAGGTTTTTAAATCTATTGCTGCAAAGGAGTCAGGGTATCTCAAAAAGAAAATGCACTGAAAGTAACAAGGACCTTGACTATAGTAAATGATAGTGGTTACAGAGCTAAATGTACTTTTCTGTTACTTTTAGCTCATCAGTCTTTCAAGAGCTCTTTTTTTTTTTTGGTCAGTCATGGGGCCTGAACTCTGGGCCTGGGCACTGTCCCTCAGCTCTTCAGCTCAAGGCTAATGCTCTACCACTTGAGCCACAGCACCACTTCTGGCCTTTTCTGCTAATGTGGTGCTGAGAAATCGAACACCGGGCCTCATGCGTGCAAGGCAAGCACTCTACCACTGAGCCACCTTCCCAGCCCTCAAGAGCTCTTTTTTTTTTTTCTCACTAAATGCATTACTTAATTCTTAAATTTGAGGGCATATACTGGACAAAAGATTTGACTTTTTCTCACCCATCTCTAGGGTCATGGCTGATACATGTGTAACAAGGAACAGATTAAAAAAAGAAAAACATACAAATCTATATGTATGTTTTTACATACATTTTACACACAAACCAAAAATCATGTTTTGCATGATGTATGTGTCTTTGGCAATGAAAACCTATAAAGAAAGAGGACACCTGTATAGTTTTATGGTTGAGAGAAGCAGGGTTAGATAATGGAATGTGATCTAATAGTGAAAACTTGAGATACAGTAGGGACAATGACCTAGCTAATTTGTTCAGATTTTTTTTCTGTGTCTCGGTAGCTCATTGATAAACATGTTCCTTAGCTTGGGATAGAAAGAGGATACACCCTGAAGGAGGGTCTTCTAGAGTGAAAGGAAGAAAATTACAGTGGCCTTTCTAGATCTTCTATCCTGCTTTAAGGAAGAAGAGTGAAGTAAAATGAAAAGGGTCTTCCTGTATCTGCTATTTTCTCAACTATCAAGGGGCTGTATTGGACGGTAGCATGTCCTGAACTTCATCAGGGCTAAGCAGTATTGTTTGTTTGTTTTCCAAACTATTTTTTTCTTTATCATCTTTTAAAAAAATATTGTCGTTGTGTAAGTAAAGTAGTGATTACATTTCTTGTCTAACTTATTACCCCTTTCTTCATTTTTCTCCCTCTTTACCTCTCCCCACCCCCTTAAGTTGTACAGATAATTTCCAACATATTGTCTTATGAGTATTGCTGATTATTAGGTTCCCCCACACATAGATCCAAAGGCACTAATTGTTGGTGACTTTATTTTTTTAATATGTATATATATGCACGTATATATATATATATATAGTAAAAATACTGTACAGGGGGTTACAGTTACATGATCAAGGTAATGAGTCCATTTCCTACTCTCCCCACTGTATAGATCAACCCGGTAAAATCTCAACATAGAAATCTCAGATCTAAACAACTGCATAGACCAACTAGACATTAACAGACATCTACTGAATATTTCACAGCAGCATCAGAATACATGTTTTTTTCCAAACTCTTTCCATTGCCTCTGGTCTATTTCTTTCAGTTACAATATCCTTTCTCTCTTTAACTCATGGCTACTAAACATATTGGCTAACATCTGTTTATAATTTGAGTTTCAGGTCAGAAATTAGTCTATTTTCCCACTCTTTCAACACTGTATCTATTTTATCATTATTGCTATGCTTTTGTTGTTGTTATGGGGCTTGAACTCATGTCCTGGGTACTGTCCTCAAGCTATCTGCTTGAGGCCAACCATCTACCACTTGAACCATAGTTCCACTTCTGGATTTTGAGTGGCTAACTGGAAATAAGAGTCTCAAGGAGACTTTTCTGCCTGGGCTGGCTTTGAATGGAGATCCTCAGATCTCAGCCTACTGAGTATCTAGAATTATAGTCACAAGCCACTAGAGCCTGGCTTGTAATAATTTTTTAATATCTAAATATTGTTGATCATTTTAGAGCCTAGATTGTATTTTATCAGTTCACCTTGTTTTGAGTAGATAGCTTGTCACCATAATGAACACCCAGTAAATTCTTAATACTTCCACTGGATGAATTATTTAACCATTGTGTTACATTGACTCCAAAAAACAAATGTCACACACATTTAACAATTTGACTTCTCTCAATCTGAGTGCTGCTTAACAGTGACGATACTGACAGAATAATTGCAAAATTTAAATATTTATTACATCTGAAGATTTGGTTCTCTAAAAATTATGATAAATCCAAAAGACTCTCACCTCCAATTAACTAGCAAAAAGCCAGAAGTGGAGTTGTGGGTCAAGTGGTAGAGTACCAGCCTTGAAAAAAATTATGATAATGAGTGATTAAGATGAGTGAATATTGAAATTGCATTTTCCCATTTCTTTTGACAGTTAATAAATAGTAATGATAATGTGAAAATGTGCTAATAACTATAAATTAGTATTGATTACATTCTGTTACTTCTGAATTCTCAAAGTAAGTTGTGGGACTATTTCTTTCATGCAACATTAGCTTATTTGAATACTACAAATTGTCACATCTAAAATTTAATCAAAAAGAACTCAACATACTTGATGAAATGCATTATCTTTAAATAATATTAAATTACAAAGAAAATCTTCGTAGCTTGAGACAGGAAATCAGGTTAGCATTATTCAATTAATAAGCAAAAGTTTTAGAGGCTTTGTACCTACAAGGTTGTTGTGCTTACCATACACAAAATACAAAAACTACTATGCTGTAAACTATAACATCAGTGTCTGATGAAATAATAACATCAGTGTCTGATATTTTTATCCATTTAAAAAAATCTAATTATCACATTATTCTAAAAAATTCCTAATCTGTGATCTTTCATTGAACAAGATCAATAGGTAACACTGAAAAAAGTGCAATATAAATATATATATCCCTTTATTTTCAATTATGAGTAAGAAACTATATAAATATACATATATATGTATGTTTACATAGTTTTTTCTACAAATGACCCAGAATGCATCATTACTCCTTAAATGGATATTGAAGGCTCCTTTTGGGCCTCTGTCAGGACATAAAGGCCCTTAGCACTACCTTATTAGATAATTCGCAGCTCATTGGACAGGAAGTATAGGTTTTGCGATCTGTTCTCAGGTCCAAATCCAGCGGTGGGTAAAATGTTTGAATACATGAACATGTCTTTCATAGTCTGTTTTACCTCACATTTCTTATCAGTGTTCTGTGCAGGTAAGCCTATGATTTTCATAATGGGAAAAACACCTCTACACCTAGTATAATTTAGACCATCAACTACTTTGCTAGAATTTCATTTCCTTTCATTTGTTATATGTATGTTTTCAGTATTAATGGATAGGTGACAAACTGCAATAAAACTCCATTTTTTGGTTTAAGAAGAAATTTGAACTCTAAGGGAATAGCCTTGATTTGAACTTATAGTAATAAATGAGAAAATTTCGTTGTCATGAGTGGCTCATTCCTGTAATCCTAGCTACTCAGTAGATTGATATCTGAGGATCTTTTCCAACTCAGCCAGGAGAGTCTTATCTCCAATAAACCACTCAGAAAAAGTCAGAAGTGGTGCTGTGGCTCAGGTGATAGAACACTAGCATTGAACACAAAGAGGTTCAAGGACAGTGCCCAAGACCTGAGTTCAAGCCCCAGGACAGGCAAGAGAGAGAAAGAGAAAAAGGGAGGGGAGAGGAGAAGGGAAAGGAGAGGAGGGGGGAAAGGAGTGGAGGGGAGTAGAAGGGAGGGGAGAGGGAAAGGGAGAGGAAAAGGAGAGGAAGAGGGAAAGGAGAGAAGAGAAGAGGGAGGGGAGGGGAGAGGAGAGGATGGGCTCTCAAATATAAATTTATATTAAATAAATAGCATAAATCCATATAGATTATTTTGATTGAAAGTCCTGATTGAAATTCCCAATGTTGTCAACTCACTCAAACATGGCAGTCCCGAGATTATAAGTGACATATAAGTGACAATCACCTACTGTCTTCCTCCACTCCAGTGCAGCACACTGCTCCCCTGTGATCTCATTCACCAGCCCTGCTTCTGACTGAGCATTTCCACTATTTCACCCACTCCTGGAGTTTCCTCTAGCTTCGACGTCTCATGTGTCACTTCATCTTCTGTACTTTTCTCTGGTGTCATCATCTCACTGGGCCTGTCCCAACTACATTATGTTACATTTAAACTCATTTTTCTCTCCTGCATCATTTTTCCCTTAATACTCATGACAAGCTGGTAACTGTGTTTCACTTAGTTTTTACTTCTTTTTGCTTCTCTTTGAGAATGCAAGAAGTTGACTTTGGTTATTTACTGCAGTATCGTCTCCAATTCAAACTGTCTGGAACATAATTGAGGCTATAAAATAGATTTGAGGGGGAAATTAAAGCCATTATAAATCCTAGGGCTACCATAATATACTCCAGCTAATACAAGGATTGGAGTGGAAAATGTTATATGATTATTTTAACAATCCTATTATTTATGACTAAAATGCAGTTATTTTGTACATTGAAGTTCAGTGCAATTTGGCATTTACTTAGGTGGATCTAAAACTTATCATTAGAATGTTACATTTATATTAATGTCTCACCACATGCTTATATTCATAAACTAAATTCAAGAAGTTATGAAGACATTCA